TCATACCCCTATTCTCACTTATTCGGACAAAATTGATTATCATCTCGATTTATTTACCCGACAATTATTTCATCATTCTCGGGTTAAGAGGGGCAGTTGTTGATACTCAATTTTGCCCTCATATCTTCCACATAGGCTTGTAAATTAGTATATTTTATAATATATTTTTATAGTAAATTTCCCTGCATTACCATTCCATGACATGTTTTAAACATTAATTTATAACTGATGGGTACAAATGTGTTTGTCCACACCGATCATGTGACACTTCAGTACTTAATAAGCAAGAAGGATTCAAAGGCGAGGTTAATGCGGGTGGTGCTTTTATTTCAAGAGTTCGATCTAGAGATCCAAGACCGCAAAGGTAGTGAAAATCAAGTGGCGGACCACTTGTCTCGATTGGAGGAGGAGGGAAGCCCACTTGAAGGCCTTGAGATCAATGATTCCTTACCCGACGAGCAACGTTTAGCCATTTCAATGACCTAGATGCCATGGTTTGCTGACTTAAAAAGTTATCTTGTGAGTGGCATTGTACCGAATGAGTTCTCTTCAAACCAAAGGAAGAAGCTCAAACGGGATTGCCTTGACTATTATTGGGATAAACAGTACCTCTTCCGGATTCGTACCGATGGTGTGATTCGAAGATATGTGCCGGAGGAGGAACACGTGAAAATTCTTGAGGCTTGCCACTCTTCACCATATGGTGGTCACCATGGTGGAGCTAGAATGGCGGCAAAAGTGTTGAGTTGTGGATTCTATTGGCCTACTCTCTATAAGGACGCTAGTGATCTAGTTAAGCGTTGTGATGAATGTCAAAGGGCCGATGGAATTTCAAAAAAAAATGAGATGCCCCTCACCACCATCTTTGAAATTGACACTTTTGATGTGTGGGGCATTGATTTCATAGAACCGTTTGTGAGCTCTTGTGGAAACACCTACATCTTAGTCGCGGTTGATTATGTGTCCAAATGGGTTTAGGCCGTTGCTTTGCCCAAAAATGAAGTGAGGTGTGTGGTGGCATTTTTGAAGAAGAGCATATTTACAAGATTTGGTGCCGCAAGGGATATCATAAGTGATGGGGGTTCACATTTTTGAAACAAGGCCTTTGATACCTTACTCATCAAGTATGGTGTCACTCACAAAGTCTCGACCCCCTATCACCCTAAAGCAAGAAGACAAGTGGAAGTCCTCAACCGGGTGATCAAGAGTATTTTGTTAAATACAGTGAATGCCAACCGGGCGGATTGGTCGAAGAAACTTGATGATTCTTTATGGGCCTATAGGACGACTTGCAGTGTAACTTGAGCATAAGGCCATGTGGGCTTTGAAGTAGTTGAACCTTGAGTGGGATATCGCCGCAAACTCAAGGGTGGCACAATCGAATGAGCTGGATGCATTCTGGTACAATGCCTACACAAGCTCGTCCCTATACAAGAAGAATATTAAGTACCTCCATGATAATTACATTCGAAACAAGGAGTTCAAAGAAGGTGATCTTGTGTTATTATTCAACTCTCGGCTGCGAATGTTTCCGGGCAAGTTGAAGTCTAGATGGAATGGCCTATTTGAGGTTGTGAATGTAACCCCCTTTGGTTCTTTGGACTTGAAAACTAAAAATGATGAGGTGTTTAGGGTCAATGGGCACTGGGTGAAGTACTATCTTAGAAACGTTGATGATGGCCACGTTGTAGCGGTTCATCATTTCAAGTGATTGATAATATGTGTCGTGCCGCGACGTTAAATCAGGCGCTTCTTGGGAGGCAACCTATGTGTCTTTTGCTTTTTATTTCTTCTTCTTCTTTAGATAGGTCTTATTTTGTACTAACGGGTTTTGAAGTGGATGCAGGAAAGAGTGTGCTTGGTAGTGATTGTGCCCAGAAAACAAATGGCTAAGAGTTGAAAAAGTGCGAACCACACATTAATTGTGCGGACCGTAAAATTTTGCATGCCACAGAAGAAAGGAACCTATGGTCACACAATTCATTGTGCGGCTGTACAACTGGAGGCCCAAAAATGCACTATCTTTGAACTTTGTTTGACAGAAAACATAGCCAATCTGCGGCCGTACAAGAAATTGCGCGGTCCGCACAAATTCTGCAACCACACTCAATATTGTGCGGACCGCATATGTTCACTGAAGGGAAGTTGTATCAGGTAAAGAGTGCGGACCACACACAAAATTATGCGGCCGCACTCAGCTTTAAATTTTGCCCTAACTTGGGCAACCTATAAATAGTCCCTCCTAACACTTTTCACACTTTACACACTCCGCATATTCACAAGAGGCAAGAGCACAGTAGTTTCATCAAAATCAAATTCATCATTTTATTTCATCATCTTAATCTCTTCCTTGCATCACTTCGTTACTGTTATGTTAAATTCATCCTTAGATGTTTTTCAATTTTCTTAATTTTTGTTCATATTTAGTTGGTTATTTTGAGCCCTGATCATAAAATTAAAGAACACGTGGGCTTAATTTCATGTGGGCAACTTCATGCTTGTTAATGAGGGATGAGTAGACTAGTTATCATGTTTAATTAGCTTTGCCTTGTCCAATATTTGCGTAGAAGTTAGACACCCTGAGTAACGGCCGTAAATATTTGAATTGTGCGGCCGTACAAGAAATTGTGCGGTCCATAGATCCATCGTGTAAGGTAGTTGATGTGAGTTGAATGTGCGGACTGCATAGAAAATTATGCGGTCCGCAGAAATTGGACTGCGGTCGCAGAATTCTGTGTGCGGCCGCAAATTGACCCATTCTCTAATATCAAAGATTTGCTAGTTTGAGACTGGAATTGTGCGGCCTCACTCAAAATTGTGCGGTCCACACTTTAATTGTGCAGTCCACACTTCAATTGTGCGGTCTGCACTTCAATTGTGCGGTCGCACAAGAAATTATGTGAACTGCAGAACCAGGGTTGCGACCGCACTTCAAAATTGTGCGGTCACACTCACTATTGTGCAGACCGCACTTCTTAACCCTGCTTCTATTTTTCCTTCAACTGTTTGCAGATGTTTTACACTGTGATGTGGACTTAACTGAATCCTGTTTCTATGAATTGCAGACAATAGTGCAATCTTGTGGTCGCGGTGATACTTCCAAAAGGAGGGGTGAACCCTCCCGAGGCCGTGGTAGGGGTACCCTACCACTTGTTGCACAAAGAACCATAACAAAGGAGCCCACTGCTGGGAGAGTCCCAGAGCCTGCAAAATCCACTGAATATCTCCCGTGTAGGGAAGCCTCAGAAGGAAATTATGTGCAAGGGCAACCCAATGCACAATCTCTACAAAGAAGACTTCAGCTCAGAGATGAGCCTTCCTCCCCAACTAGCTCTTCTGAGGGTTCGGAAGAGGATAGCCAAGATTCAGAGCCTTCTTCCTCACATGCCCCCGCATCACCTATCCCAGTTGATGATGATGATATGCCTGATGATGGTCGAGGGGGTGATACTCGAGTTGCAGACCTAGAGAGGTTGAAGATGAAGGAAGTATGAGAGGATTATCTTCATAATATTTGTTTTTCAAATTACTATCATAGAAGTTTTAAACAAATAATTTATTCATATCATAAGCATTTCTAATTTTTTTAGCATTTTAATTGATAAATATTTATTTAAAATTATTTATGAGTTATCAAATTATTTTATTGTATTTTACATCAGTTCAAACAATTACATTTGCATTTTTATATCATTTTACATATTATTTACAATAATAGCTTATATTCTATAATAATTATATTTAATATGCCATTTAGGTCAAAAAAGCATTTTTGTATTTATACTCTACTGTTTTAAAATTGTTAATTTCATAAATTATATTTTTTATTATTTTTAAGAAAATATACCACTGGGATGGCTGCCTAGTGGCTAATATACAAATAATAGTCCAAAAACTAGAATCCAATGTTTACAATTTGTCCAATCTCGAAGATGAAAACAGCTAATCTAAAACTAAGAAAGCTATAAATTCTAGCTATTACACAGATAATACTGGGCAACTCCCAACATAAGGTGGTGTGTGTATCAACAATCCATGTGCAAAAACTCAATGTAGCACCTCTAACACTCTCATTAGGTGCCAAGTTTTGCGTTCCAAAGGACAAGGCAAATGTGAATGTCCAATCAACACCAACAACTTCTGGGACAGTCCAAGCATCTATGCAATATGCATAAGATATGTAGGTGAGCCTCATTGTTTTGATCATCCATCTTCACATTTCACTCAAGTACCATGTGATTGCAATGAAGATGAGCTTGCATTTTACTTTTCTGGCCTTCAAAGTGTAGCATGTCAGGACCTGCATATCAAACGAGCTCCAGGCATTGCCATAACACTTCCAAAATGGGCATGTGGACATGCCAATACCATTGAAAAGTGTCATACCATCGCCTAGAATACTAATGCTACCATAGAGCCAGTTGCCTATTGCCTGCATTACAAACCAGTCCCAAGTACTACCATATCATCTCTAGGTTGGGCATGTAAACATGTCAATACCACTGGAAAATTCCATAACAACTCCTAGGCCATCAATCGAAAACAACAAACAATAGCTGGATTCCTGTAGGGCTGTACCATTTGTATCTTCTGAAATCAGTGTTAGTAGTTGCAATTTTGGAGTAAAGATTAAGACACCTTGTGATCCCATTTGTATAAAAACCAACTGCCTTCTTTTATGAATTATTCCATACACCCCTAGTTCATTGCTAGATTGAGTATGATACCATGCTAATACCACTGGAAAGTGACCTAGTAATATATAGAACCAAATACCAACTAGACAATAAGTAGAGTAGACATTTTATTAACATACCTAGCCATCAATCTGGTGCTTTTCTTTTGGCTATCCTAACCCTTAGATTAGGAATTTGTGATTTATCCATGTTAATCAGTCTCCTCACTGCACTAGGCAGTTCAAAGAAGGAATGAAACTGAATTGTACATGCAAAAGAGAAAACAAGGTTAGCTAATAAATCTGCCACAGTGTTTCCCTCCCTTTAAACATGTTGGAATATCACATTGAACTCCTCCTTCATCTGCTTAATCCTATTAACCTCTGCCATAATGCACCATGGAGGATCCCATTCTCCTTCTATGATCTTCTTTATCCCAGGTGAATCAGTTTCTAGTATAAGGGGATGTAGGTCATGCTCCATATAGTAATGCAGTCCATCTCTGATTGCCTTAGCTTCAACCACTATATTAGTAGTTTCCTCCAGTTGTTGTGCCCTAGCATACACCAAATCTCCTACGCTATCCCTCACACAAAAACCTGTAGCACTAGGACTAGGGTTGTCTCTTGAAGCCCCACATGTATTACACATGTACCAACCATTGTATGGAAATTGCCATGCTACTCTTTTGGTCACAATAATAGGCTTGTAAGCCTCTAGATATGTGATTATATCTGGCCAAAGGAAAGGCATACAAGGCAGCTAATTGTACCTAGTCTTTGCCAAAAAATGTAGTGTCTTGTTGATCTCATGGATAACCCTATGAACTGAAACTGATCCCCCATTCCTGTTGGTATTTCTCATCTTCCATAATTTTCAAGTTATAATTGTTGGAGCTACCTGATATAGTGGTTTCAATTTTGGACAACAATCAGCATTCCACCATGCCCTAATTATATTTTTCACTTGAATCAATGGAACAGTGATTCCAGCTGCACCTAGAAATGTTCTCCAAACCCTAGTAGCTGTAGTTCCTGTCAAGAACAGGTGATCAAATGATTCCTCCTGAGGGTTTTGACAACACCAACACCTGGACATATATATGTAGCCTTGCCTTTTCCATATGTCATCAGTGATCAGTTTCAACCTCCATAATCTCCATAGGAAGAATGATATCTTGAATTGTAAGCCCTTGATCCATAAGTTCTTGAATTTTGGATTTTGATTTTCCCTATGCCTCACCAATTGCCAAGCACTGCTCACAGTAATTCTTCCTGAAGAAGTAGGTTTCCACCAAGGTCTATCCCAGAATCCATCACTGCCTTCAAACAGTACCTGTTGTTTTATGTGATCCACAATTTCTTCTGGAAATGTATGGTCTATCAGCTCCTCATCCCATCCATCTTCTTGCCTCAATTCATTAACTTGTTCCATCTCCTCATTAATTTGAAAATCTGGAGGTACTACGTGATATAAAGCTCCTAGACCTGTCCATTTTTCATGCCAAACATTAGTGATTTCTGACTTCATCTCCCACCTGATCTCATGCTCCACTTCTTGTCTAGTATTCAACATTTGCTTCCAAACATGTGATCCTTTCCTAAATTGTACCAATATAGTCAATTCCTTTTACAGTATTTGTTCCACATGAAATTTGACTACATAGACTTTGTGGTCCTAAATCCCCACCATAATTTTGCAAATTGTGCCTTGGACACATCAAATAAGGATATGAAACCTAGCCCTCCCTCCTCCTTTGGAAGACACAAATTTTGCCAAGATGCCCAGTGCCTGCTTCTCCCTTCCTCCTTTGTGCTCCAAAAGAATCTTGCAAATATTTTGTGCAAATGGTCAATAATGTTCTTAGGTCGATCCAATACTGATAGCATGGGAATAGACATATTCTGAAGAACACTACTTATCAAGGTAGCCTTGCCTCCAAAAGATAGCAACTTTCCTTTCCATGAATGTAACTTTGCCTTCACTTTCTTAATGAGATCATCATAATAATTCTTTCTTCTCCTTATATAGAATACAAGGCACCCAAGATATGTAAAAAGAAATGCAGCTCTAGAGAATCCTATGATATCACCAACTGTTTGGAACAATGCATTCGCTACCCTAAAATACATATATTATGAGCTTTTTGCTTTGTCGATCAACTGCCCCAAAGTCTTCTCATAATCATTCAATACTGCCATGATCTTCTTCAAGGATTCTGGATGTGCTGATGCAAAAATGATGGTGTCATCAGCATATGCAAGATGATTTAATGGATCAGTCCACTTTGGCATCCCAAATCCTACAAATAATTTGTCCTCAAACATCTTGTTTAAAGATCTATATAGCACGTCAACAGATAAGAAGAACAAGGCAGGAGACAATGGATCTCCTTGCTTCACACCTCTAGAAGATTTGAAGAACCCTGAAGACTGGCCGTTCACTAATATAGAATACAATTATTAGATAGTAGACTCCATATCATGTTAATAAAGTGTTCAGCAAATCCCATTTTCCTCAATACATGTAGCAAAAACTTCCATGAAACCCTATCATATGCCTTAGTCATATTCATCTTTATGACAACATTGGTAGGCTTGCCTCTCAATCTTATGTCAGTAACAATCTTGATAGCATCAAGGACAAGGATAGAGTTTTGGAAGCTCCAAGGCCATTTACAAGATCTCAAGCTAAAGAGTTGCACTCTAAGGTTGTTGGACTTCAATGGCAAATAAAGAAACTTTTAATTGTAGAGGAAGAGCTCAAGCCCAAAGTAGATGAATTATTCAAGTTTTATAATTATTTAGTGATCCAAATTGAAGTCCAAGAGGAGGAAGATTGGGCCACCAAATCAGCCCTTGAAGTCTACCAAAGGGGCTCAAAATGAGCTTAAAAGAGGTCCAAAAGGGGGTGTTTCAAAGGGAGCCCAATTGGAGTCCAAATCAATGGCCCAAACTAGTAGTTTTAAGGTCCAAATCTGCCCCAAAGGGATTTGGCCACCCCCACCTAATTGTAATAACTTTTTATGCTTTAGCAACCACCCTACCTAATTTTAAGAACTTTTTGTGCCTTAGTACTCCTATAAATAAGAAGTTGTTCTCATTCATTGGGACACTTCATT